TAATTTTTCCACCAAATGTCTAAAATTAAATTATGTAGTGTAATATACCGTGGTGTAATTTTTAATATTTCGATAGTAATAATAAATAAAATCGAGTATGGAAGAATTAACCATCTGTATACCTTTAAAATGTATTAAAATAATATATTTTACCAATTCTAATTTTATAATATTTTCTGTCATATTTTGCTTAAATTATATAAACAGTATTATTATAATTAATTATACATATAAAGAGTTTTTACTTTGCTCATTGATGATTTTTGACCTTAATTATTTTTATTTGTATTCAGTATTTGTGATTTATTATTTGTTTATTACTTTCAATTTATTTTACAGATTTTGTGATTTTATTGTCATCTAGTTTTATTTCATCTTTCTTTTATATTTTTATAATCGAAGAATTAAATGACTATTATTAACTGATTATTGATAAACTATTGTAAATGATAAACTATTGTAAAATAAAAAATTGTAATAAATTGTAATAATCTATTGTAACTGACTATTGAATAAGCTTTAGATGACAAAATATTTGTCGACTGATCATATTCCTGAAAATCGAAATTAATTTTAGAATAAATACAGAAAATTACACCTCAAAATTATCGATTTATTGTTGCCGTTCTACATCTTTAATAATAAGCTGTGTTTGTTGTGGAGCTTGTTGAAATTAATTTTTTTAAGATACATATTTAGTTAAAAAATTTTTAACAAAATTCTTTACGCTATATTCATCATTAACACATAAATGCAAGCCATTAAAGAAAATCTCTATTATATCTTATATGTAGTAGGTGAAATTTTTAATATGTATTATTAGTATATTAATTATGATAAATTAAAAGATTAATTTAAATCATTACATTATTAATTGATAGGAGACTATAAATTATTTATTTTTTACAATTAATTTTCCATATTAAACTAAATTTTTTTAATATTTATTTATAATCCAATGGTAAAATCGAAGGATTTTAATACAACCCATCCTTTAAAAGCGCTGACTTTTTATCTTTTATTCGTTTTAACTCAAAACAAACTAAAACAATAAAAAATCATAAATGTTTTGATAATATTGCATAAAATTAATGATACAATTACTAAAATAATTTAATAGTAAGGTTGATTATGTTATAAAAATAAACAGCGCCTTTGGCAGAATATGGCTTTTTATTCTGTCGAATATATGGAATTCCACCATATAATTTCTACATAATTTTTGAATGAATCTTTATAAATTACAATTATTTAAGATTAGTTTAGACATGATATTTTATTATGTTTTAACATATTATTTCAGATAAAATTTAAAAAATAATTATTTTATAAATTTTAAATGGTTTCGACTATTTTGAAGTTAATGGTCTCGACTATTTTTAATGGTCTCGACTATTTTGAAGTTAATGGTCTCGACTATTTTTAATGGTCTCGACTATTTTTAATGGTCTCGACTATTTTGAAGTTAATGGTCTCGACTATTTTTAATGGTCTCGACTATTTTGAAGACGGGTAAGAAAAATAAGCGAATGTTAGTAGGAGAAAATGAAAAGAAAGTTGTCATTGTTAAAGTAGATTTTCTTCGGTTTCGAGTTAAACGATGTGTTCGAGTTGTCACCCAACCCAACTATGCTATAACCTCGATTAAAATTGTCGATGCCGCGCCCTTTGATATGGTCCGATCCACATAGGCGAGATGAATCTGATCATAGATGCCCAGGCCAGAATGACGATACCAAGTTTACATGACAATTACGATCCTGTTTAAGTGAGATAATATAAAAGAAAAGCTATATCAAAAGTTATGATCGCATCATTTGAATCTCCTGCAATCCTTTTAGCGCTAGATATTTCTCTTATTCCACCTAGCCTTTTTTGCCCTCTAGATCTTGTTAATCCTCCGAATATATTTTAATTAATTCTAATCGCTCTAACTTGAATGACATTACTTGTCGGGTTGATACCTCTTCAAAAAATTAGATACCTCCCTCGTTTTTCAGTATACTTCCCTCGTTTCTCTATAAATTTTTGATTAATTATAGGAACAAATGAAGTAACATTCATGGGATCCTGCTGTCCCAATTCCCGAAATCTGGAAGTTATTGGCTCTTGTCCAGTTTATGCGTCCCATGAAAGTATATGCGTCCCATGAACAAAAAATTGGATATTTCTTGGTGTTGCAAAGTAGGGGTATGGTTCCAAAGCATTTCTTCATGTTCGGGATCTACGTCCACTGTGTCTGGGACCATTCCTTACCCTATCCCTCGAAATTTCTGAAAGTTATAGCCAATTTTTAAAAATTTCAGAAAAACGATTTTAACTTTCAGAAATTTCGAGGTATAAGGTAAGGAACGGTCCCAGACCCAGTGGACGTAGATCCCGAACATGAAGAAATGCTTTGGAACCATACCCCTACTCTGCAACACCAAGAAATATTCAATTTTTTGTTGATGGGACGCATATACTTTCATGGGACGCATAAACTGGACAAGAGCCAAGTTATTTTTTGTACCGGCAGGATCCCAAGTATATACCCCACAATAAAAATGTAAGGAAGAAAACCACAAAAATAGCAAAGAAAATTATTTAATTATTAAAATGAAGAAAAAGACACAAAAGATTGTTAATATTTAGTCATTAATTTCCAAATATTTTTTCATAAGAGCAATTTTGATAGAAAAAAACACATAAATTGAATTATCAATTTTTTATTACAAAATATATTCTTATGAAAATCCGAACAATTATCTGAAAAATTCCACTTGAATTTTTGTCGTCAAGGACGCCAAAATTTTTATTTCTTCCTTTTTCAACGCCGCAGGCGAAACGGGTATCGGGTAACACGTCCCATCCCTGGTATGTAATATATTTAAATATTTTGTATTGAATAAAGTATGTATCGATTTACTTTTGGAAAATTTAATTTTTTAAATTATAGAATAATATTTACTGTTTGTTTTAGTAAAATTTATTTTTCAATTTTAACTCCCTCGTGATTTTTGGTAAAACGAGCGTATTTACGCAAATTCAAATTAATATTAGGATTCTAAATTTAGATTTCCAATACCTTTTATTTCATTTATTTATTCAGGATAATCCCATTTTTCCGGAAATCCAACTTTTATCTCTTCAATTTAAACCAATTTTCATGGTACCATTCAGCTTCTGCGGAAAAATTATAACCAATCTCTAGCTTTATTTATTTTCTCTCTATAAAAATTCATTTTACCTAAAACACTTTTGTTGTTTGTAAATTGGCAAAATCAAAAGTCACTTAATTCTATATAGCGTTTTATTTATTACATCAGATTTTGGATTTAAGGGAAAAACGTACGTATTCATTCACCAAATTCTAAACGTGGATTTCCAATCCTTTTTGTTTGCATTGTTTTTATATGATACCTCCACAATTACCGCAAAGCCAACTTTTATCTCATAATTTTAATCAATTTTCACGACTTCATTTAAGTGGTAACCATTTATTAATTCATTTTGTTTACCTAAAACTCAATATTAGTTTGTAGATTCAGATTACACTTTACATTACGCCTTATATGGTCTTTATATAAAATGCTGGTAAAGCTTGGCAATATATATATCATTTTAATTAATTGAATTAATATCCAAAATATTGAAGAAAATAATACCGTCCCTGATACACATCCAAAATATTTCTTAAGTGTGGATATCAGGAATTTTTGATGGATATTTGTTTTATTTGAAGGGATATGTCTATTCTTTGATATGTCTCCAAAATTCTTTCATAAAAGCCTGGAGATCGGGGGAATTGGAGGGATTGGGAGGATACCAAATGATTTATATGGATCTCGTGAATTTAAAGGGATATTAGAGGATGTGAAGGAAACTTTGTCCATAATTGTCCGATCGACTCTGCCCACGACCTAGTTCGGCCCAGTTTTCCAGGTAATTTCGAAAGACACCACAATTAAAAACAACGGGAAAGAGTGTACTAAAAATAAAAATTTTCAGAAAAAAGAATTAATTAAATGGCTTTTTTAAATAATATTATTCTTATTCTATTTTTATTTTTAAATTTATTTATATTATTTAAACCAATTAATTGTGCTTGTCTAGAAAAAAATGAATTCAATTGTGACAATAACAAAAATAAATGCTGTAGTGCTCTAAATTGCAAAACTAATGCAAATGGTGGTTCATTCTGTAGACCTTACAATTGTGTTAAACAAGGTGCTCAATGCAATTTATCAAAAGATAAGTATTGTTGTTATGGATCTATTTGTTCTGTCAACACATTAAAATGTGAAACGTGTTTGAAGGCAAACGATCCGTGTGGTAATGATGGTAATGCTTTTAAATGTTGTGAAGGTCTGAATTGTGAATCAACTGGTATTGAAGGACTTGGCGTTTGTATTTCGGAATACTAAACTGAATTTTTATTCTTCTGTTCTTATAATTAATAAAAAAACTATTCTTTTTTACTTTTGGGGTAGCATATCTAAAAATGAATATATTTTTTGATGAATAAAATAATTAAGTTGTTTCGAAATTGATGATTATATATTAAGACTATTTATAGATTCTTTATTGAGTCCATTCGAAAACTGAACTCTTCTTTGTGGCCGAAATATAAAGTATTGTTATTTATATAATTAGAATTCGTCATAGATCTCGTAAGAACTTCGCTAATTTTTGAAATTAATCTCGGGTATAATTTCGGAATACTAAACAGAAAGCAAATGGGTCAAATTATATGTCATTCGAAAGAGCTCGTGAGTTGAGTCGAACGTTGGTAAAATTTTCGTCCGTACTCATACAGGTGCTGAAATACAGGTCCCCGAAAATCGAAAAACCGTAGGGAAACCGTGGCTATTCATTCAACAAACCGTAGAAAAACCGTAGCTATTCATAAAAAATTCAAATTTATTTTTTCGAGTTTTTTAAAAAATTATTTTCATTTCAAAAAAATTTTATCATATAAATCAGTTAATAATTAATTTTATTTTCTTCCAAACAATAAATTACATTGCATATTCCTGCGTCCATTCACGAACCTTGGCATTGTAAGCAGCACGATCTTCGACGTATAATTCGGCAGCTTCCTCATTCAACGGACTTTTTGGGTTTGGATCGTCGAAAAGAGAGCAGATTGAAAGCAAAACTGAAAATTGAAATTGGAGATAATTTGTAAAAAATTGTAATTTGATTTCCATCACTAAGCTAACTTAAGCCTGTTATCAATTTTTGGAAAAGGTGGGAATCCGTGTCAGGACAAAACTCCGTCCGACTAGTCGTCGCTTTACAAGCGACATGACTCAAATGTCAAACAGTCAACACCAACGTTTGTCGATGTTGTTTCATGGAATCGGTCTTTTTTCGATCCGCAATCCAAACCTGAGCACTCAAAATACGCGCTCCAACCCAACTTTTTTACGAGATCCAACCCAATCCATCTACAACGAAAATTTTAGCACCGTCTCAACGTCCCTCCCAAAGTGTCGTTGTATTGGACAAAATCCCTCATTCCCAAAATTACCTTTAGAAATAGTCAAAGCCGGCGTCCATTTATTTTGAAGAATGTCCAAACAAATGCATCCCTCATTATTAGAGTTGTGAATTTTATGCATTAAAAAATGTGAAATATGCACTATAATATGCACGAAAAAATACCGAAATATGCACGAAAATATGCAAGAAAACCAAAATATGCATGCAAATATGCAAGAAAAATACAATTTTTGTCTAGAAATTTTACATTTTTTAATCAAAAACATTCAAACAACAATTTTTTATTACGATTACTGCCATTTTAAATGCATAGTTCGACAAATTGAGTATTTTTTACTCAGTTGGACATTTTGAGGTTTGGCGTTTTGGCGGTGATACATTTTGGGGTGTGACATTTTGGCGGTGGGACATTATGAGTGTTGGCCATTTTTGGGGCGCGTCCAATAACAAAAATTTTTCTTACAAAATTTGTAATTTTTACAAAATTTTCCTAAATTTTTACAAAATTTTCCTAAATTTTTACAAAATTTTCACTTTTTGGCAGGATTTTGGGCAATTTTCGCAATATTTTCCCCAAAAACTACAAAATATGCATTAAAATATGCATTATGCACCAAAGTCCAAAATATGCAAAAATATGCATTATATGCAAATAGAAACCCCCTCTAAAGTTTTCAAAACATGCGGAAACAGTGTTTTTTGTGCATTATACGTCAAGACAAGTTTGCAAAAAAAATATGCATTTGCATAAAAATCACAACTCTATTCATTATTAATATTTGGATGGTAAATCTGTGTTTTAAAACTAATCTTTGGCGGTTTAAACGGATATTCGTGTGGAAAGTTAATTTTTAAGTAAAACACTCCTCCTTGATAAGGCGAATTTGGAGGCCCAGTAATGGTTGCTTGCCAATTCCAGAGGTCCTCCCCGATTGGGCCTGCATTACACAAAGCTGGAGGTTCTTTTCCAAAGTCTAAAAGCTCCTGAAAAATGTAAAAAATTTCGGTAAAATTCAAGTTCATAAAATTTAAGTTCAAATATTCACACATTTCGCTTCGGATCGTAGAATTAGCAAAAAATGTAAGAAATCTGACTTCTTTTACTCCAAAATTTTCATGTATCGCTTGCGGAGCTTAAAAAGAAGTCTGACTGGAACTTTCATTTAGCTCGCCTCTGCATAGTTGATTACCTGATGGTAAACCTCTAAATTATCTAAAATATCGATAAAGCTCTTTTCTTTTTTTGAGAGATGAAAAAATAAGGGCTGGATCCAGGGCTGCACGTAATAGCGGATGCGTATGTATATTGCGGGGGTTTTTGCAATTGCAAGTTGTGAAAGCTTTTTTTTCCAATTGCGTGCAGCCCTGGTAGTGTCCCTTCCATTTTTCACTACAAAATTTTTAATAAGGATGGCGAGCATCGGAAGACGGAATGTACCGACTGAACGAGTTAACAATACGACTTAATCCTTTCAATTTTGACTACTTAAGAGGATAATTATGACTATAAACCAACCTTATGAATTCGTTTTAATGCCATTTGATAAAAATTATATGGAATCAAAAATAATTTAAAATCTAAAATTAAAAAAAAATTTTAATCGAGGAACAAGGATATGCGACAATATTTTCTGCTTTAATAAAACGAATCGACTCTACATATTTAAATTAAAATAATTAATAAATCCCGCAAAAAGACTCCTTGATACACTTGTGACGTCTGAGAAGTTTCATAATTTTTTAGAAGTCTTAGCTATTGCTAAGATTAATTTTTGTGTTTGTTGGTATAGTTAAATAAAAGTTTTGCAATCTGGAGCTAGGCGAAAAGGTCGGATTCTGTTCAGCCTAGCCCCCGGGATAATTAAGGCAACTTAATGTCCTAAACAAATAGTTAAACAGGGATTCCGTCCTATTTACAAATTGGAAATAGATGTTGATAAAAGACACAATAGATTCGTTTGTACGCAATAGAAAGAAAATCCCGACCGGATCCTGTCCGGATCCGAACTCTAATATTTATTCCACATCGGAGAATTTTCCAAATTTTCAAAATATAAGTGGGCTACAAAAAATTTTTAGAGCACGGGTGAAAAAAAATACGGACCTGAAGCACCTCCCTTTTGGTGCTTCAGGTGCGTATACATACATATATACATAAGTAGATTTTCAATTTTGTGGTAAGAAGTCGATTTATAGGTCTGAACTTCTAATTTACCCTGGTACAATGATAAATTAGAAAGAAAAAATGTTTTTCCGATGTCAGATTTTTGTCTGAACCGACTTTAAAAGGGCTGCTGTTCTACGTTCCTTTTGCCTTTCATCCTTAGAAAATTCCGATTTTAGGCAAAAAGCAAAAGAACCTAGAAAGGGTTTGAATTATTTTATTTTTTATGTGCAAATTTTACATTTTTTGATTAATAATAAAAGTAAAAATATATTTTTGAGGTCAACAAGTTCAATAAGGTTTTACCTATTTTTTTCTTTATTTTGCAAAAAAAAGATTATTTATATTGCCCCTTGTTAAATTCTCTATTATTAAAGTTGACCTGAAAAAATTTACCCAGACAGGCAATTTGATGAGACTACATTCATTTAAAAATAAAATTATTTTAAATAAAAATTCTCATCTATATGAAAAAATTACTTTTTATAACTTTTAAATTACATACATAGATACATTTTTCCCTCTCAGTTGCTATCTAGAACATGCCTCAAAACGTGTCGGGACAGAACATGGAAAAGACAAAACAAGGAACGACCAAAATACGGACTATACCAAAACATGGAACAGACAAAACACGGTCTTTCCATAACACGGAATGGACAGAACACGGAATGACCAAAAAACGGAATACTTTTAAAATCATATTTTTCAAAAATCAGAATTTATTTAAATCAGGATATTGTTGAAAATAGAATATTTATTAAAATCAAATTCATTTACATTTAGAGTATTTAAAAAAACAGAATTTAAAAATAATTATGGAAAATTTTAAAAATATTCTCTGGACCGTGTTTTGGTCGTTCCATGATTTGGCCATTCCGTGTTTTGGTATGGTCCGTATTTTGGTCGTTCCTTGTTTTGTCTTTTCCATGTTTTGTCGTTCCATGTTCTGTCCGTTCCGTGTTTTGGCATTCCTTGTTCTGCCCCTCACCCTTGTTCATTATTGACCAGAAAATATTTTTGCGGGCAATTTGATGAGACAACCTTTATTTCTTAAAATTATTTTTAATAAAAATCTCATCTACCAAATATTGTTTTTTAATATTTTATTATTAAATTACATAAATATTTAGTGCAATAACATATAAGATTCAATACTAGGGTTGGATCCAAACGTTTATTAACTGGTACCCCCGTTTTCGGTTTTGGGTCAAATACAGGTATATTTTGGTGGCCGCGGTACACGCAATTGCAGATTGCCTGAAATGATGTGTTTTCTTTGACTTGCAGATTGCGGCTGCGGATATTAAAAACGCAATTTTCACGAAAATTTTCGAAATTTCCCACCCAATAAATCAAAAATCTGGCTTCTTGTCCTTTCGAAATTTTTAAAATTTTCGCCTACGCGCTAAAAACCGCAAAGACATTTGGCCTTTGCCTTACAAAATTGATTTAAGAATTGCAGCTGTGGATTTTAAAATAAAATTGCGGATTGCATATTGCGGCTGCTGAAAATTTTCCATTTGCTACACCTGGATGCGACCTGAAATATTAATTAAAGTTAAATTTTATTCATTAATTACATGTACATTTTAGCCTGTATTTTATTAACATGTCTGAAAGTAAATATCTTTGGCGTTCAAATTTTGATAGTGAGGAAGATTGGGTAAAGGCATTTGATGCCTACATTGTTTCTATTTTAGGTTCTATGATTACATCGAATGATTCACATGCTCCTAATATATCAAATAGTAATTTTATTATTTTCATTAATATTTCATTCTAAAAATAAATATCCAGTTATGCATTTAATTTATTTTTTAAATTTAATTTCGTTATCTATGTATTTTGTGCTTCACTTTGAATCTAAAACTACGGTAGATCAAAACGAACCGTCCCTGAGCCGAAGCCTTTGGATAGGGAATTTCCGACCGATTTCCGAAAATCCGGAACTAAATTTTTGCAGTAATTTCCAATTTCCGAAATCGGGATACCATCTCTTATGTATTCACGTAAATTTGTAAGATTTAGTAATATTTTTCTTGGATTTTACAAGAATATTAAAACATTTAAGACGGAATTCAATGCTAAAAAATCTTTTTATAATTTTAAATTATAGCTTATTCTGATTATACTGGTGAGGATTACGAAGTCACAAAATCAGAAAATTTTTTTAATAAGCAAAATATTGAAAGAATGATTGTTGATAGCAAAATTGTTCCTTGCTTAAGAGGTTTTTAGACATAAAAAAAATTAATTTTACCTATTTAGGACTTAAAAATCATGGAAATACTGATTATTTTAATACTTTAATGCAGTGTCTTGCAGGTTGTGACCGGTTTGCTGAATTTCTTCTTTGCAATGATTTTGTGAATTATGAAAAGGTAAAAAAAGAAAAAACTTGTCAAAGTTTTACATTTCAATTCCTCGGCTAATTTTTTTAATATGTACTTATCTCATTCAAAGTAAGGTAGAATTATTTATTTTATTTTGTTCCGCTTTCTTCCGCTTACGCTCTTAAAAATTCAAAATTATACACACCTGGTACATGCATTCATATTTAAATTTCTTAAAAGTTTTTTAATTTTCATAAAAATCCAAATTAAAAAATATAATTATTTTTAAGAATATTATTTTCAACTCGTTTGTTAAAACAATTCGTTGCATGTGGTTTAATAACAATTCTACTGACGAATTTTGTCATAAAACTGTTTAGAGTTTCACCGGAAGTTCCGGTTCCGGAAAGTTCCGGTGTTTTTTTGGTTCCGGTTCCGGGAACCGGAACTCAAATTGGTTCCGGTTCCGGCTCCGGTTTTTAAATCGGTTCCGGGCAAACCGGAACTTTTTTACACCCCTAAAGATTGATTTTTTTAAAAATATGGGTTGGCCTTCCCCGGCTGGCCTTGCAATATTCTCAAAATTTTCGCCTGCGGCGCCAGAAAAGGAAGAAATCTGGCTTCTTGTCGTTCCAAATTCTCAAAATTTTCGCCTGTTAAATAAAGCTGAATGTTATATCGTAGGATTTGGATGGATGAAGGTGGATTTTAACTTACATCATGTGATTTCAAGGGGCCATAGGTAATACTTAGGGATTTGGGTGTGATATTGAGGGATTGAGCTGTGCAAGGTAGATATCAGGGATAGGATAGCTGGGGATTTGGCCTTCCAAAACTTGGCATTTCTCACTTGGTCTTTCTAAATTCACAAAATTTTCGCCTGCGGCGCTAAAAAGGAAAGAAGAATAAATTATTTTTTGAATAATGGATTTGGATCAGGGGTGAGCGCATTGCGTTTTGCGTTATTTGCGTTAAATTTTGGCCTTGCGTTGCGTTTTGCGTTTTTTGAGATTGGCTCTTGCGCTCATCCCTGATTTGGATGATATTGGGTGATCTCGCGTATCAAGAATTATAATGGTATATCGGTGATTTGATATCTAGTGATCTGGTGGGATGAAAGATAATTCGAAGAAATTCGGGGATCAAAGGGGAATTCATATAATTGGTGTGGTATCGGGCATATCAGGGGATTGGGTAGTTCGGTTCGGTTTTACGGTCCGGTTTTGGTTAACAGAAAGTTCCGATTCGGTTAATCGTTTCGGTTAACAGAATAATTGAGTGAAACCGACAACCCTACCTTAAATTCAATTTTTTTTTATTTTTTTTTTAAATTTTTTACATTTGCTAGCAAATTTTTTTAAAGTTCCGGTTCTGGTTCCGGTTCCGGGCCGGAACTTAGAAAAGTTCCGGTTCCGGTTCCGGAAACCGGAACTCAAATTGGATCCGGTTCCGGTTCCGGTCAAAATTTCGGTTCCGGTGAAACACTAAAACTGTTCGTTCTATTGCCAATGAAAATTCAACATTTTGTATTGGATATCAACATGTTTTTA